GGACATACCGAGAAAATGTCAGGGACATGAAGGGGGGGCTGAATGGCATGGAAGGGACAGGACCAGGACATCATGGGAAACGTGACAAGGACATGAAGGGGGAAAGCCAGTAGTGAGATGACAGTTCAGGGTCATGCAGGGGCAGTGCCCGGACATCGAGGCAACTCGGGGGGGGACGTGACGCTGCAATGCAGAGAGAGAGAGACAGAGAGAGAGAGAGAGAGAGAGAGAGAGAGAGAGAGAGAGAGAGAGTGGGAGAGAGCGAGAGAGAGACAGAGAGAGAGACAGAAAGAGAGAGAGAGAGAGACAGAGCCAGAATCAGAGAAACAGAGAAAGAGACAGACAGAGAGAGAGACAGCGAGAGAGAGAAAGACGGAGACTGAGAAAGAGAGACACAGAAAGACAGAGAGAGAGAGAGAGAGAGAGAAGAGAGAAGAGAGAAAGAGAAAGAGAAAGAGCGAGAAAGTGAGAGAGTAGAGAGGTTCGAATTAGGGTGCCCTTTTTCTGTAGAGGGGCGTGGACAGGAAGGAGACAGGGAGACAGAAAGAGACAGAGAAACAGAGACAGCGAGAGAGAGAGAGAGAGAGAGAGAGAGAGAGAGAGAGAGAGAGAGAGAGAGAGAGAGAGAGAGAGAGAGTGGGAGATTGGGGGGGGGGGATGGGGAGAATGGGGAGCAGAGGGAGGGAGAGAGGACGACAGAACGCACGAGGGAGACAAGGGAGAGGGAAGAAGGAGAAAAGGGAGAGGACAATGTCGGCGGACTGAGCCGGAGGCTCTAAAGTATAGATAGAGAGATAGAGAGATGGATAGAGAAGATAGAGAGAGAGATAGATAGATAGATAAGCAGATAGATAGATAACACGAGAGATAGATAGAGAGGTAGTTAGGTATAGATAGGTAGAGAAAGAGAGACAGACAAGCAAACGAAAGAAAAAAAGCAAGAAAAGACAGATAGAAAGAAGGAAAGAAGGGAGGAAGGAAGGAAAGAAAGGAAGAAAGGAAGAATGATGGAGAAAGAGAGTCAAGAAAAGAAAGAGAAAGAGAACTATAGTGTTGATATTTTTGAAACTTCCGCTATGCGGCTTGCCGGCTTTACTGGTAGTCAAGCCTTTCAGTCTCTGAAATCCACGCTAACGCGTAATCAGAGTCAAAACTGAAAGCATTCCTGACCCTCTCCTTCACCTCGGAGATCCATTCCCGAAGCTTATCAGCTGTCGGCTCAGCAGGCAACGTGATTGTGTTGCATTTATGATTGTCAACAACAGTTGAAATCAGCGCCCCTATCGGGGTACAAGAAGTGATCCTACAGCTTTCGCACAGCCTGGCAGGCAAAGGACAGCACACTTCACATGCCCTCATTCCACAGCCAACGCATGGAACAAGGGGGAAACCGAATTCAGGGATCCTACCACATTTAGTGCATTTATCCCGCCCGCTTCAGGGAGAAGACCGCCATCTCCCTGCCTACCGGCGCCATGAACACTGTAGCCAATGCTAAGGCCTGTCCCAGGATTACTGGCACTGCCGACACTGGATGGATAACCAGCAGCAACATTGGGCTGGCTACCGCCAACACCACTGCCTGAGTGATTAACACCACCCCCGTAGGCCGGACCATAGAAACTGGAACCACATTGATTGCTCTCAGCTCCGTGGGGGAGTCTGCAGCGGTGCCGCTAAATGCGGGCGCTCCACCAGGGCCACTTTGGCAGAGCAATGAGGAGGTCCACCAGGAGGTCCAGGCCCTGGGGGCGGGCGCAGAACTGATCCGTGACCACCACATGCGCCTCCATTGATCCGATGGTCCCTCAGGACCGCCTCCTCCTCCAGGAGGGGGAGGCGGCAATCCCCGGGCAGCACTCTCATGACTCGCATGACATCGCAAGCATCGCTCAAGACAGTCATGCCCAAGGATCGTATGCTCGTTACAGATGTCCTTCTCACAGTCAGAACAGGAATACATGGATATCTGCTGAGCATTCCTGCGACAGGCCCAGCACTTTGTTTTCAAGAGCTGGCAATTCCAACACTCCCCATCATCACCCTTGCACAGCCGGCAGAATCTACGCTCGCATGTAACAGGTGAAACTCGCATTCGGATGTCTCCGATCGTTCGGGTTGTCCTGAGCACATACCCTCATTCTGGTATGACAAGCTTTCTTCCTCATCACGACCATCCGCAAATGCGGCATAATCATCATCATCATTGAACTCAAACTTAGCCATTGAAACAGGGTTGGTGGGCCTATTAGTATCAGACTCCTGCTTCACGCTACTGCCCCAGCCAGCGGTTGACGTCAACAGGGCATCGTATCCGATGCCTGCAAACGCCCTCTCCTCGTGCTCATCAAACTGACCTGGATTTTGAGAACCGGTTGATCGACCCGAGATATCTCTCGGAGCCAAAACCATGGTCCCCGGTCCTCGCGGCCTGTCCTCGACCTGGAACAAGAGGCCTTGGAGGTCGAGTAGGCATGGCCTCGAGGTCGTCCGTATGAGGGCGGGCCATGTTCATCGCCATACTGATGAAGTCCAAATGTCCTCGTCCGAAACCTGATTCGGAGCCGCTATCGGGGCGAGCTACTCGTCCTGGCTCATCATCCGTGGCCTGACGGAAAATACGGTCGTCTCCATCATCGGTGTACCTGCCACGGCTTTGGGGTGTGTCCCTATCGGGATCATCACCCCTGCGGCCCTGACCTGCGGAACCTGCATCGAATTCCTCGTAGTCGTAGTCCGGCAAGTCCTCACCTGAGCGGAGGCCACCTAGGATAGCCTCCTCATCCACGACGCTCCTTCTTCATTGAACTTGTAGTTGATGGTCTCAAGCGCGTAGGAAAGTCCTACGGCTGATAACCTGTGATTCGGGCACGAGCCTGTGCCCAGGCAATGGGTAAGTTGGGGTAAACAAGCCACAAAAGAAAGGTTCCCCAAAAGCAAACCAATCCCCGGTCCCAAAGATCAGGGTTTCCCACACACCAGAGAACAACAACCAAAAGGGAAAAACCAAACAAGAAGGTAAATACCCGCAACCTTGATCGACGATGAACCGCGCGGGCGATCCCCACCAATCTACCCTGGGCCGATGTCTCTTTCTCCACCGACATGAAGGTGATCGACGCGGGGACCCGGCGACGCTCATCCGAGGCGCGACGGATCCAATCTTGAGCCAAAGTGGCACCGGATAGTTGCTATCGCAACATGCCGGTTGTCACCTGAAATACATGGCTAATCACATAGATAGATAGAGTAGATTAGAATGGATTGGATTAGACTAGATTAGATTAGATTGGATTAGATTCGATAGAGTTTCATTTGTTGCCTGGCTTTGGATTTCGGCTTCAAGATGTCATCAGATCAATCTCTCAAAAACCAAGTCACCAACTATTAAAATGGTGGTAAGCATTTCTCAGCTTCCCATTGATTGGTGGTTTGGATTGGCTTAGTAGGAGGAGCTTCCCATGTACCCTCCACAAGAAGCAAGACTTCAAATCCGAATCCACCAATCCAAGCACCTGGAATCACCTTACCCCTTGGTGGTTTGGAGCCCGGTTTGGATCTTGGGGGCTTCCCATTTGGTGTCAAAAGGTGGGGTTCAAATCCAAATGTAAACCAATTAGGAACCGAGCAACCTGGAGGCTCCTCCAACAGCTAAAGCTTCCATTCTAAGCGATTTCGATGCAGCTGCGGACTGGGATATTAAACGAGAACTTTATAAAATGTGCCAAAAACCTGGACCAACACCAAAACAAGTACAGCTGAGCGTTTCTCAAAATAGAGGTTTCCTAAAATAGTTGGTTTCCATCTCAGCAAAAACTGGATGTTCCCCTCCCGGCCACCGCTCCGCCCGAATTTGGAAGAAAAAATAAACATGCAGAATCACGAACGGCAAAAGGCATTCCCAGAACTGCTGTTAGCTTTTGTCTGCACGTGTTTCTAGAGTTCCAAAACCTGAATTAAGGGATCCCCAAGCAAAGGACCTTTATCATGGTGAGCTCGTCATGCCCCTCCCCCCAGGTGAGCTCATGCCCCATCAAGGTGAGCTCCCCAGAAGCTATAACCTTCGGGCTCTCCTTCCCGCTGGGTATGTCAGTCTTTGAAACCGCCCCCCTCCCCCCCGGACCCCCCCCCCCCCCGCCCCCCTCCCCCCAACGCCGCCGAAGCGAAGCAGTTGCGACGCCCCTCGTCGGTCCGGATGTTTTCATGGACCAGGTTGTGCGCCGCCCAGTTCTTGGCAAAACACTCCTGGGCCAATGGTGTCTTTGCGGGTGTCTTTGTGGGGCTGTCTTTTATTGAGGGTACCCCCCCCCCCCCCTCCAACTAACATAGCACCAGACATGGGGTCTTGAAGAGGAAACCAATCTTCCAGGTACCCTCCCACAGGTGCTACGTTGGTGGAAGGGAGGGTACCCTTTTTGGGGTTGATGTCAAGGTAAACCAAGGGGAAATCACTTCCTTGCGTTCCCCGAATTTGATACAAACCCGGAAAAGCGGGTCAGGTGTCCTTTTGGATTCCCGCTAGACCAACCTGAAAAGGCTACTCTCAAAAATACATCATGGATCAAATACCCACATCCACCAACCAAACCGCCAAATCAAGGATCCTTAATCCCTTCCTTCTAAGGATTGTCCTACTACACCTTGGGATTACACCCTAGGGAAACTACCCCAAATAGCCCAAATCACCAGGTTTATCTGAACATGGATCCTTACATTATACACCTGAACATTGCCTTGTAAATTGTGGTGTGCCTTTATTTTGGTGGAAAAAGCCATGTTTCAAATGGGCAAAATGTATCTTTTAAGGAGCCCTGCCCAGGGTGTTGGCAGACCCCTTTTTGATCAGAACCAGTGCCGATCCATGGCCTTGCTTCCCTTATCCGAAAATTCTCATCGGAGCCATGGATGCAATGGTCATGTCACCAATATTCTAGGCGGTGATTCCTTGTCCATTCTTTTCAAGCATCCTTCTTTTCAAGAACCGGATCTGTTTCCAGTGGGTTTTTGATGGTTTCCTGACAAGATTCGGATCCCTGATAAGCGCCACTCTGGTGAAACTGTGAAACAGCAAGAAGGAGACATTGGCCAGCTTGCTGTGTTCTCGGCAAACACGTTCTGCGGGGGTTCTGCAGGATACTGCTGCGAGGCATAGCTTCAGTTCTACAAACGTGGAAATGGATGTGTGCCAAACTGCAAGAACCCTGTCTATATTGGTGGTTTTCCAGTGTAAGTATCTACTAGGTGGTTCTGCGAACCTTGCACAGTGGGGCTCCCCGAAGAAGGTGCTCCCTTCCTTCTTCTCGTGACCAAGCAGCAACCTTACAAAGCATCAGCTGCTATCTCAGTCACAGAGTCGGGGATGGTCACATTTGTCAATGAGCTGCAAGCTTCAAAGGCACGTTCCCGAATCTCAGTCAAAGAGTTGGTAAGGGTCACGCTTGCCAATGAGCTGCAGCCTGAGAAGGCAAACTCCCGAATCACAGTGACGGAGTCGGGGATGGTCACGCTTGCCAATGAGCTGCAACCTTGGAAGGCAAGCTCCCGAATCACAGTCACAGAGTCGGGGATGGTCACATTTGTCAATGAGCTGCAAGCTTCAAAGGCACGTTCCCGAATCTCAGTCAAAGAGTTGGGAAGGGTCACGCTTGCCAATGAGCTGCAACCTGCAAAGGCACATTCTCTAATCTCAGTCACAGAGTCGGGGATGGTCACGCTTGCCATCGAGCTGCAGCCTTTGAAGGCACTCCTCCCAATCTCAGTCACAGAGTCGGGGATGGTCACATTTGTCAATGAGCTGCAAGCTTCAAAGGCACGTTCCCGAATCTCAGTCACAGAGTCGGGGATGGTCACGCTGGCCAATGAGCTGCAACCTTGGAAGTCAAACTCCCGAATCACAGTGACGGAGTCGGGGATGGTCACGCTTGCCAATAAGCTACAATGTTGGAAGGCACGTTCTCCAATCTCAGTCACAGAGTTGGGAAGGGTCACGCTTGCCAATGAGCTGCAACCTGCAAAGGCACATTCTCCAATCTCAGTCACAGAGTCGGGGATGGTCACGCTTGCCATCGAGCTGCAGCCTTTGAAGGCACTTCTCCCAATCTCAGTCACAGAGTCGGGGATGGTCACATTTGTCAATGAGCTGCAAGCTTCAAAGGCACGTTCCCGAATCTCAGTCACAGAGTCGGGGATGGTCACGCTTGCCAATGAGCTGCAGCCTGAGAAGGCAAACTCCCGAATCACAGTGACGGAGTCGGGGATGGTCACGCTTGCCAATAAGCTGCAACCTTGAAAGGCACGCTCTCCAATCTCAGTCACAGAGTCGGGGATGGTCACGCTTGCCAATAAGCTACAATGTTGGAAGGCGCTTCTCCCAATCTCAGTCACAGAATCGGGGATGGTCACGCTTGCCAATGAGCTGCAACCTGGAAAGGCAAACTCCCGAATTACAGTGACGGAGTCGGGGATGGTCACGCTTGCCAATAAGCTGCAACCTTGAAAGGCACGTTCTCCAATCTCAGTCACAGAGTCGGGGATGGTCACGCTTGCCATCGAGCTGCAAGCTTCAAAGGCACGTTCCCGAATCTCAGTCACAGAGTCGGGGATGGTCACGCTTGCCATCGAGCTGCAGCCTTTGAAGGCACCAATTCCAATCACAGTGACGGAGTCGGGAATGGTCACGCTCGCCAATGAGCTACAACCTTGGAAGGCTCTCGGCCGAATCTGAGTATTGCCTCCCGGAATTTCTGCCACTCGCAAATCTCCAAGCTCAACGCCAGAGGCCCGGAAGCTTGAGCACTTCATGGGCTTGATGCTCAGGAAAGCTAAAACTTCTGCACCTGGAATTGCCTTGGACAGCAGCTCTGCGTTGTTCAACAGGGGCCTGTCTGCAACAATCACCTCCACTGAGCTCATGTTGCGCTTTGATTCATCTTCGCAGGGCAGCCAGCCGTGCAGCTGCCTCTTGAACTCACTGACGGTTGTGTGCATGGACACTTCGATTGGTTCTTCCTTCCCAGACAGCTGCCGCACCTTAATCTCCCTTGCCATGGCAGTTTCTTTCCGACCCACTGCTTGAAACGATGTTTCTGCTTTAAACTTGCTTTTAGCCGGCTTTCCGGCTTGGCCGGTCCCACTGGTTGCAATGTTTTGTTGATGCAATGTAGCAACAGAACACCAGATCTTGCTCCCACCAAAAAAACCACCCGGCCACGACAAAAAAAAGAGAGCCGTGGCCCAAGGATCCAAGTCACTTGCGGCTTAACTAACACATCCGTCGAGCCGAACCCCCACTAGGTCCTCTAGTGGAGAGGTTAGAATAAGTTGGGTCCCGATTTTGTTGTTTACTCTTTTCGGTTTTGTCTATTTGAGTAGGGGAACCCTCCCCAAAAAAGGGCCCAAAAAGGGCACCAATCAAGAACTTGACCCCAAAAGGCCACCACATGAGTCAAAGAAAACCGATCACAGGCATGGGTGGCCTTTTGGAAAAATAGATGGCCCTGGTGAATGGAATAAACCCCATCTAACCCAGGGCCCTCTATTTCTTAAGCAAACCAACCAAAAAAAGACACCTATGATCACAGGGTTTAGAGGGATGCAACACCTGTGGCTGGTTGAAATCGACATCCAGAAATCGAGATCCAGAAATCGAAATCCAGCGTTCAGAAGCCCTGGTGTCTGATAAATTACCCTGCAAATAATGTTGACCCCATATTCATAAGGGGTTTAGTAATCTGAGGTCAACATTACCAACAAACGCTATGGTGTCAACCATGGTTTCTCAACCCCAGTTTAGAGGGGTGTCCAACTGGGTTTAGTGGGGAGTCAGACCACTTTTGGAGGGGCCCCACCCCCATATTAATAAACAGGGTTGATCAATATGGGGTCAACATTACTATGTAAGTGAATAGAATAGTTGGGTATGGTACAGAAACAAAGGGCTTCTCGACGAGAAAATCATTTCAAGAGCCTCTCGGTCACATCTGAATTACACAATGGTCCACATTTGGCTATGAGTCAAAACCCCGTACTTTCAGTGAACATCCCAATCCCCATTGAAATAACCTACCAACCAAAATGGGCTTGGTTTCAACGGAAACCCGCTGTGCTGGTCCCTTGGGGCTGGTGAAAATGTCTCAGGGCTGTGGAAAACGGGGTCTGGTGGTGTTTGACGCAGTTCACACTCGGAGAGCCCCATATTCTGAAGAGCAAGTGACCATAGACTACCATTAAAAAAATGAACCATGGAAACAGCATGTCTTGTCCCTCAAAACGCTGGAGCCCAACATCGGTAGCTGTCCCTTTGGTTTGCCTTCGAAGCCGTCTAAAAAGGTACCCTCAAAAAAGACATACCTATGTGTGGTTGGAAGAAGTCGTCCTTTATTGGGGGGAAGTACTTTTTCCCCCAGGTCTTAAGTGGAGTTGATACCACTGTAAGTGGACAGTGGATCCCAGTTGCCTAGTAGGTAACTCTCCACCATGTTCCATTTAGTGTTCAAGAGGGTGGGAAATCCCTTGGTTACAACTTGATGAGTACTTTGATGAGCGTGCCCGTGCCATCCCGTTGCTACAGCAACAAAGGTCTTTGCTTCCTTCTCAGCCGTTCCTTCTTTACTCAATACCAAAGGCTTGCTCTAGCTCGGACAAGATCATGTCCGAAGCTGCAAAGCCCTTTCCATCCTGATCTCCCCCAAACATGTACGCTGTCCCGATGTTTTGACCACTGGATCACATAAGCGCCACTCTCGTGAAACTGTCTGAGGATTTCGGGCGACAGCACGATGTCTCTGCTACAGCAAGAAAGAGAAATTGGCCGGCTTGCCGTGGTCTCGGCAAACACGTTCTGCGGCAATTTGCGCTTCTGAGGAGTTCTCTCTGCGGGAATTCTTCAGGATACTTCTGCGAGGCATAGCTTCAATTCTACAAACGTAAAAATGGATATGTGTCAAAAAAACAGGAACCTTAGTGGTTCTGCGAACTTTGCACAATGGGGCTCCCGAAGAAGGTGCTCCCTTCCTTCTTCTCCTGACCAAGCAGCAACCTCCCAAGGCATCAGCTGCTATCTCAGTCGCAGAGTCGGAAAGGGTCGCTTGCCAATGAGCTGCAACCTTGGAAGGCATCTCCTCCAATCCGAGCGACTGAGGCAGGGATGGTCACATTTGCCAATGAGCTGCAGCCGTGGAAGGCATAGTCAGGCTTGCCAATGAGCTGCAACCCCCTGCACATGTGTTCAATCGTCACAGAGTGGGGGAATGGTCACGCTTGCCAATGAGCTGCAGCCCTGCAAGGCAAACTCCCGAATCACGGTGACAGAGTCGGGGATGGCCACGCTTGCCAATGAGCTACAACCTTGGAAGGCACGTTCCCCAATATCTCAGTCAGAGAGTTCGGAAGGGTCACGCTTGTCAATGAGCTGACTCGGCCCAATCTGAGTCACAAAGTCGGGAATGGTCACGCTTGCCAATGAGCTGCAACCTTGGAAGACCCTAAACCCGATCTGAGTCTCGGAGTTGGGAAGGGTCGCGCTTGCCAATGAGCTGCAACCTTGGAAGGCTCTGGGCCCAATCTGAGTCACGGAGTCGGGGATGGTCACATTTGCCAATGAGCTGCAACCTTCAAAGGCACCTCCTCCAATCCGAGTGACTGAGTCAGGGACGGTCACATCTGCCAATGAGCTGCCTCCTCCAATCCGAGTGAGTGAGTCAGGGATGGTCACATCTGCCAATGAGCTGCAACCTTGGAAGGCACGTTCCTAAATCTCAGTCCCAGAGTTGGGAAGGGTCACGCTTGCCAATGAGCTGCAACATTGGAAGGCACATTCTCCAATGTCAGTCACAGCGTGGGGAAGGGTCACGCTTGCCAATGAGCTGCAACCTCGGAAGGCGTCACGCTCGATCTTAGTCAAGCTTCCTGGAGTCTCCACCACACGCAAATCTCCAGGCACCACGCCGGAGGCTTGCAAGCTTGAGCACTTCATGGGCTTGATGCTCAGGAAAGCTAAAACTTCTGCACCTGGAATTGCTCAACAGGGGCCTGTCTACAGCCACCTCCACTGAGCTTGCGCTTTGAAACAAATCTTCGGGCAGCTGTGCTGCCTCTTGAACTCACTGATGGTTGCTTGTGTGGACACTTCGAATGGTTCTTCCTTAACAGCTGCCGCACCTGAATCTCCCTTGCCATAGCAGTTTCTGGGCGACCAAGTGCTTGAAACGATGTTCTATGTTCTGGTAGACTTGCTTTGAGCCTGCTTTCCAGCCTGGCTGGTTGCATGTTTCAGCTAGGGCTTGACATGGCAGCTTTGAGCCATACGTCGCATCTAGCGCAAGTGCAGTCCCCAAGAAAGAAATAGCGGTGACATTTGGCAAATAAAGGGCTCTGTTTGGCTTGATGTTCAAGTGCAAACGCATTGTCCTGCCCCTCTTCTATGCCAGAAAGAAACAGCAACGTTTCTCTGGGGCTTGGTTCCTTGTCCATTCTTTTCAGCCATCGTTCTTTTCAAAAATCGATCGCTGTTTCCCACGGGTTTTTGGCATGGTGTTTTAGAAAGAAGGATGCCAATGGGAAGCTACTAGACATATACGCTGTACGGTTACTCCTTGAGGGGTATATCGCCTCCAAAAACCCTTGGTGCCAAACCTGGAGCTCCCCATGAGGGCAAGTGGCCGTCAAAGAACCACATGGGTGTGGCTCAGAATTAACGAGCTGGTACGCGGGTTTGAGTCTGTTCCATTTACCTTTTGGTGCCATGTTGGTCCCACCTTTTTTGAGCCACAACCACATCCACCTCAAGTAAAAGAGTGTGTTGGCTATGGCGCAAATGCAACAACAAGATGTCGGCGTCGCGGAAATTTGGCATGCGCAGAATGAGTCATCTTTGCGCTTAGGGTTGACTTCAAGTGCGATTAGGGTCTGGGATTCGGGCGGCTTTAGGGTCGGATACCAGCATTTGGATGAAATCTGAGCAAAAGGTCGTGAGAGACCTAGGTCTAATGGGAAAACCCTTTGTGAAACCGAAAGGTCTCTCTCTCTCTCTTTGCCCAGCAAAAACTCTCCGAGGCCTTTGGGGTCGGGTGTGCAAAAGAACACCCAAGCAGGGGGCGAATTTTGGCCACCATATTTGAAAGGGCTAGACATCCTCCATACTGTGGATGGACGAAATCCTCCCCTGTAAATACCAATGAAAAATGGTTTCCCATGGTTTCCAAGTGGTGCAGGATTATGTCCATCCACAGTAGGAAACACCCTGCGTGGTAGAAGTGGTCCAACGAACAATAGATGTGGCATACGTACGTGGTTGAAACTGGCCAAAGTGTGACACCATGTAGCTCGAAACGCCTCCGGCCATGAGCAGATTCCCCACTCCCCATTGAGAACTGAATGAGCCCAACACGACTCTTTCAATCCTCAAACCCTCACTGTTTGAGAGCTTTTGCATGCGGACTTCCGTGGAAATCCAGGGCCAAGGGTCCGGCTGTTGAAGCCAGTCTTGCCTGCTTACCATGAGCTTTGTTTCCGTCCGAGGGATTGCAGAAAACCCGGATCCCAGTCAGTTTGCAACATGGTTGTCCCCAAATTCATAGCTTTCTCGTCAAAAGCCAAGAGAACCTGCCAAAAGGTCCCCCACTTTGCAGGGTTTCCGAGCCATCGCTTTTGGAACCTCTACACGTGGCAGTTTCAAAACCCAACTTTTGGTTTGGGGAAATCCCTTCAAACCCCTCTGCTTCAGGATTTCATTGCAAGGGCGGCCAAGTCCGCGAGGGTTGCATCGAGGGCGCTCTTGGTTGGAGGTGTCGCTGGCGGCTCTGAAACCAAAACCTCATGGACATTCGCCAGAATCACCTGCACAATTCTTTCAAATGTGACAGGCAGTCACGGCGCCACCCGGAATTTGGAATTGTCAACGGACGAAGCCTCTATCACGCACAGGTGGCCAGCTTGCCATAGTCACAGTGAACCACCGAACCAGCGGTTTCCACATGATCCAGGACCGCAGAACCTCGAAAAGCGGGTGCTTTCGTGTTGAACCTCCCAAGCAAACTCTCACCGAAAGATGCACTGGTGGGCCATGACTTCAAAATGTTTCTGGAGGCTTCTTTGAGTATAACTTAGCTGTTCTGGGACAGGAACAGCTCAAGAACATACAGGCCTCCCCTTCTGGATGCGTCTTTGGGGGTCTTTGGAAGAGGGATATGATTGAAACGATCGACTCTTTCCCAAAGGTGTATGAGTCTCTCCAGGGTGAAACCAAGCGAAAAAACAGCCATTGCTGCTTCCCCCCTCTGGCAATACCTGGCTTGGTTCTGAACCAAACTCTAAGCTGAGCGCCTCAACACGCATTAACTTTTGGTTCTACTACGCCATGGGTGATAGGAGCTCCCCCTCAAAACTGGCCATTGTGGTTTTGGGTGCTCAAATGGGTTTTGGCGTGGCTTTGCAGGGCAACAAAGGGGAAACCCGCCATTTCGGGGTCTCGTTAAAACAAAGGGGACCACACCCAAATGTCTCCGAGTTGCAATCAAGACCTGTTACAAGAATGGTGAACCCAGAACCATGTAAGGAATTGAAAAGGCGGCCGCATTTATTTATGAGCTGCCGCACCCATTTGTGGCTGGGATGGTCCCTTACCCTCCAGTTACCCCAAGCCGTCCTGACCGCAGAAGAAGGAGGTCTGGCCCAGCCTGGGTGCGGGTGGCCCCCGCATTTGGAGTTGGTCCCTTTGTGCTGGTTTAAGTTGGAAAACCAAAGGCTCATTTCCCCGAACATCACCACAAGGAAACTCCTTTTTCATTGGCCCCCAAAGGGAAATACAGAGAGCTCGGTAAAGGAGTCGACCAAATGCCATGTTGAGGACCCGCGAGGCGCGCCTGTTTCCGGTTGAACAGTTCAAGAAACTGAGCTCTCCGGGGTCTGTGTGCAGCTCCAACCCTCTGTCTTGGGCTTCTTTTCATGCTCATGGTGCCATTCCATGGGGTACAAAAGGAGTCCGTCTCCAGAACCTGCGGCGACCAAACAATTGCTCGGGAAATCTGGCGGGGCGACCGCTGGATTTCGCGGTTTGCTGCGTTTTTGTTCAAATGGGACCTGTGGACATCCTTGAAGGGCACCATAGATCTGCGATGGATATCATTCACCAACCGAAATAGGAAATTGAAGAAAACCTTCCTCGTGGGCGTCGCAAACCCCTCGAACGTGACGTTGTTACGGTTGCCAGGACACAATTCAGCTCCCCGAAATTGGTGGTTCGGACTGGTCGCTTGGAGATTTGAACCCCCTGGAAAGCCCAGCTCTGGGCCAAGTGGCTTCCATGTGGCCGATGGAGTAACTTGTTCCTCGAGCTTTGAGTCAGCAAAGCAATCATACCAAGGAAACTCCATCAGCTTTGATCCGAAAGCATGATCCCGAGCATCCAGCATGCCGAGCAGCCCCAGCCCCAGCATCCCCAGCATCGCGAGCGTCCAGCATCCTCAGCATCCCAAGCATCACCAGCATCACCAGCGTGCCGAGCATCCTCAACATCCTCAGCATCCCAAGCATCAAGCATCCTGAGCATCCCGCATCTTCAGTCCCAAGCGTCCCAAACCAGGCCTCCTCAGCATCTCCAGCATCCCCGCCAGCACACATCTCCAGCACCATCATCCACGGGCTGTTTTCAGCATTGGATTGCGATCATCCAGCACAGCTTTGTAACAAGCGATGCTGTGGAAACCTACCAGCGTTATTGAGAGAACCAAAGATACAAATTTACTGCTTCATCCTGAATCAATCCTTTTGGGCAAATGAGCTTCGTTGACAAGCCCAGTGGGCGCGGTTTTGCCGGCTAAGCATTCTCCAGCTCTCAACTCCCAGCTCCCAACTCCCAGCTCCAACTCTCAGCTCACTCCCAGCCAAGGAGCCAAGATACATATGGCTGTGGGCCAAAACCCTCCCCTGGTGAACATCAAACTCGGTGGCAAATGGATGTTCATCCACCCCAAAATGGAGCCATAGGTTATGCCCCAAGATACATATCTTTGAGAAATTCGGAAACGCCCCAATCTAAAGCCCGAAAACATGACCACAAAGAGCAGATATATTTCCCCTCGATTCTCAAATCCAAGGACAAAGGAAAAGATTGGCAGAACGATTCTAAACCGCTACCAAACATCTGCAAAACCGGCTTGCGGGACCATCGAAGGGTCGAAACCAGTGATATTGCCCGTTGCTCACCTCATGTCTGTTCGAACCCTCCAAGTACAGGTTGATTGGGCCAACGGAATCCTTATGCGGGGCGGCAAAAGCGCCATCTCTTGGATTTGTTGAGGGCGATCTTCGGTTGAAGGCTTTCTGCGAAGATCTGATCTGGTTGGGACATTTTCTCTTGAGGCCGCCCAAAAATGGTATCCCTCTGTTAAAACTCATACCGTACCCGCCTAGATGATTGAGAGCCCCTAAGAACCCTACTGCTTCCCCTTTGAAACACCCTCAAAAAACACACACACACACTCAGGGGAAAGCCCTCAGAAAACCACACACACACACACACCCAAGACGGGGGGGGTTGCTTCTTGGGGTTGCTTCTTGGAGTTCCAGTCGCATCGATCGCTTTGGGTCCACACTCGATACAGGTGGGGCAGCACAGCCGCGTCTCCGAATCCCGACCGCAACCCTGCGAGGAGCGTGGCACTAAAAACAACAATGGGACGGACCCAGAGAGATCCTTTTAAGCAGCAAACAAGTCATAAGCTGATTCCCTGTAAGTTCCTTTAAGTAGTTCCCTTGACATGTGAGTCACTTGCTCAAAACCATCGCTATATCAAAATGGTCCAAGCCCAGAACCATGGCTTGAAGAATTAACGAAGGCGGGTGTTTTTTCTTTCCCGCACATATTTATGGCAAGGGGATTGTCCCTTACTAAGCTTCATCTACCCGAATCGGTTTTGAGCACGTGGCTTCTGTGATACCGTGCCTGGACTGATGGTTCCCCTGAGCATACCAGTAGACAATGGTTTGGGCCCGACTTTTTGGGTAGGCTGGCCCGTTTGACCCACTGGCAAGAGTTACCCTCTTACCAACACTCTCGGGAACAGTGGGTTCAGGTTCGTAGGCGATGTAGTTCACATCTGCATCACTGCATTGGTAGATGGGAGAAGTTCTGGATACCATTTTTGGATGACACATACTCCCGTGCAATTTGTTCCATGGCACCCAAAAGGCACCCCAATAGAAGGTTCCTGGAATGATTGGGTTTTTGGGATCTATGTCAATCTGCAGTAAAAATATGGAACCTCAAAAATAGCTTCGGTTTCCCTCTTTTGATTTCCCTCTCAGGCAATCACCAAAAGTAGGTTCCCCGAGAAAAAGGACCCACCCCTATAGCTTGGTGCAGAAGTGCTCTCCTTCCTTGGAAGGCTTTCGTCTTGGAGGGGTCTGCGCACTTCCATTGAGAGCGGAAGAATGGATTTCTACAATTCTTTGTTGTCCGTTTCTTGTCTTTGGGCAATTCAACATTCAGCCAAATGGTGTTGACTCCGAATTTGAGATCAAGTTAAAACAGTGAATAAAGCGCAAAAAACATGAGTAAATTACCTGCAGAGAGGGTGTGGGCAACATGCTGGTGAAAAACGGATGCGCTTTCTAAACCAAAGCGGTTGAGTCCCGTGACTGCTTTGTCACTGCAGAAGAAAACTCTCTTGGTAGGAAAGAAACTGGTCCAAAACAACAACCACGACCACGGTATGTTCACCATTCTCAGATACCACTCACTGGGATGACCGTCCCACAAGCGCTACTATCCTCTTCCTCGCTGAGGTTGTCATACAAGCAACTGTGTTAAAAGGAACTCCACTTCACGGAGTGGCACATGGAAAACATATGTTCCCTCATGAGTTGGGCAAAAACGAAAACAAAACAACAACAACAAAAACAACAACAAAGAAAACAAAAACACACACACAACCCCCTCTTCACCAGGATTAATTTGCGGCTTGCCCGCGCACCCCCTGCGACCCGCATCGGCCTGACACGCCATGTCGCGTCACATCGCACCCGGCACCGCTTCGCTGGTTTGTCGCTGCGCCCTTGGGGCAGTCTTCGTATGCCCGGTGCTGGGATCCTCCCCTTTTTGCACGTATAAAGATAGAAAGACAATAAAGAAAGTAAAAGAGACTTGAAATAAATTGACGAGAGAAAGATACAGGACCGGTTTTCTCCGCTTCCTCTTGGGCTACATAGGCAGTTCATCGCCATTTCAGGAACCAATTCCGGTCGTACCGACTGGTTCTCTGTTGGGCGAGAAAGCGAAACCTGTGAGATTGCGCCAAACTTTGTGGCTGCCTCAACAAAGCGATGAGAATGCACGGGCCCCGCTAACTGCGTGCTAGAATCAAAGCCAAGCTCCACACAGCGTGCAATGGCACCAAAAAACCATCATCTGCACGGCACAATCGCACATGGGTGTGGCTCAAGTCAAAAGGGTACCCCGAAAATGGGCTGGCGTCCTTTGAAACCAACTTTAAAAGGGGTACCGAGCCTCAAAACACATACACATGCCCAAATCACTCCCTATGGCATGCCATATGCAATGCCTAATGTCTTGCTCGCTTTTTTCTGGCCGCCCCTCGGCACGCGAAGACGGCAGATTCCCTGCACACTGCGAGCGGGCTTCTGCCCTGGCAGCGAAACACACACGCAGCATTCAGGTCCGCCGGGGAAAAGCTCCATTTTTGGAGCGTCAAAGCTCTAACCCGAGCCAGCTGTGCCGTGAAGTTCTGGAAACTCGGGATCATGGTTCCAACGGCAGGGTTGACCTTCAACGCAACGCCCAGACTTTTTTTCATGCTGACCCATGAGACACAGAAGCTGCTCGCGGAGAAATGTTCTTGGGTCTGGGCCAGACAGCCAGTCCCCACGCATGGAATCCTATGCTCAGAGCAACGTTGGAATGCTCAGCCAAATTTGTGTGAAGCCAAACGGGTACCCCCTTGGTGGACATGCGTCACTGGGATCAATGTCTACCAACCATGTTTGATGTGGGTTCCCCATTAGAATTCACAGTCATATGGCCGTCATGGGCGTCCTGGCAAGGAGATGCTTTAAGGTATGGAAGTAAACCTGTGCCAATCTTGCAATTGTCCATCTCTCTCTCTCTCTCTCTCTCTCTCTCTGCCAGGCTACCCTTATCGGCATACCATCAACATCAGTCTGCAGGATCATGATTCTCAAAGAAGCTGCATCAAGCGAATTGCCAAGTCTATACATATACCGTGCAAGTACTGCTAAGTTGCCATGGCAAACTCTCAACGCTCCCTCGTCGAGAAGCATCCGAACAAAGCGCCCAAGTCATACCAATCATCCACCGAAGTGACGATCTCCCTCTCGGGCTTGCTCGTCTTGTCACCTTTCGCCTGGAGTTGCTCTTTGTGGAAAGAAGAAGGTACGAAGAATCCCCCGAAATATATATATATATATATATGTATATATATATATGAATATATGGTGCCGTGTCCCGAATTCCCACCCCGTATCGTCCGCCAGAAACCTCCCCCACACCAACCCTACACCCATCCTAAACCAACCCTGCTCGCAACAACTGCTTCCCACCTCCAAAATTCCCCACGGAACTACCCAAAAGCAGTTCTTGGGAACCGGGCGGGCAAAAACGCCAAAATACCCCCGAAACACCTCTCCCCGAGCAACCCTCTGGGTTCGAAGCCCCACGAGAAGCCCTTGCTTTGAAGCCTCGGGAGCGGAATCCCCAAACCACCCTGGCCTATCCACCAACACGCTTTCAGCTCAACAAAAACATCAAGCCAAATTGACCCTACCCTGCCTCTCCCCCCCCCCAGAAAAAGAAAAAGAACGGATCAGTCTCCCCCAGTAGCCCCAGGCCCAGCAAAAAGACGCCGCGCCTTCGCCTCAACCATCCGCTCGGAATCCCAGAAGCTCCCGCGGGGTCTCTCGCTTGCGGACACGGACACTGCCGTGGAGGAGGCGTCGCAGGGCCGCAGGATGTCCCTCTTGTACGGTACAGCCAGCCGAGCCTGGATGTCATGTTCAAACACTAGTTCTTTAAACAGCACTTTCCTCAAGTCCCCTCCATAAGATACCAATTGATTGTTACGCCACACCCATTCTTTCAACAGCCTTCTGTTGGTCCCCCCCGTTGCAATTGCCAGCAAAAGGGTGGTTTCTCCGCCCATTTGGCCGCTCGCCTCGTGGGCTTTGAGGCTCACCGCGGTGGGCACCACGAAAGCCCCACTCTCCTTCTCCGCTGCTTTCGCCGCCTCGAAGCTGTTCGCTAGGCGCGGGGTCAGGACCAACGTAGGCGCCATATTTCCGAGGCACGGGACGAGTCGGCTGGCTTGAACGAAACTGCAGCTTTGGACCCGGCCACTCACCAAGATGCCAAGGTGGTTGGCTCTCTCTTTTCTCTGTGCAAGCTTCTGACTCTATATGACGCGTGTGCACGGAGAGTTGCGCATACATGTTGATTACAAAGGCCACGCAGAGTAGTGCTACCAATCTACTGCGACTGGCCTGTGTTCCAGGTCAATTCTCTACGTGCTCAAATCAACCGTGAAGTGTTTCCCAAGTGAACTGCTGAAACCTTCAGGTCGGCATGGTTCACTTCTTGGGTGTTCGATTCGCCAAGTTAGATCATAAACTGGAGCTTGCCCCCACTTACAACCAGGCCAACTCCACAGAAGGGAGACTTTGGGTAGAACCCAGGTTACTAACTCCAAACTCACTTGGCGAATCGAACATCCAAGTTCGTAAGCTGCATTCCAGGATTGAATTCGTAAAGCCCGGTTGAGCCTAAGGCTTTTAGCAAGGCACGCCCATTAAAACCGGCTCGCTTTTTTCTTGCTCGTTCCTTTCTATGCGCGTTGCTAGGAACCGTCGAAAAGGGGATCCCAACCTCTTTCTTGTCGAGCCCCGAACCTTTTCTTGGGACCCCCAAATCAAGAGGAAGGTAAAATGTCAACAAGCAGGTGGTGGGATTGTTTTGCCCCAGTTGGCAGTTTGGATTGGCGGTGTCCCCTTTGCAAGGACAATGGGGGTTAAAACGCTGATCCCATGTTTGGTCGATGTTTGTGATCTCCAAGGTGTGCTTAGATACTTTTACATGCAACAACACGGTCATTGTTTTGTCAATCCAATCAAGTCTACCAGCAAACATGACCTCATCGCACAGCAAACAACTCGCTAGCGCTAAGAAACGCCCCCGCCGGTTCCATTTTGTGGGGGTGTGCGGTTTATCTCATCTTGTTGTTGCGCCTGCGGTTGCCCAAAGAAAAAGAGCCCCGTCGTCGCAGTGCCAACCTTCTTGGGGGATTCTAGAAAGACAAAGTCATATGCAAAATGGAGGATACCCGTTTGCTGCTGATTTCCCAAAGGGATCCAAGGGGAAAGCGCGCATTTGGGGAATGCCAACCTTCCATCTACGACCCCTACTTTTTATCCTAACGCGGCAAAGTGGCAGAAAGCAACGCCCCACGTGAGCCGCGCAAGCCTCTGTTTTTTCAACCTGTTTTTGGGCCTATGAACCAAAATGAGGAGTTGGAAAATCCGCCCTCTCCCCCACCCCCCCACGCCGTGTTTTTCTGGCTGCCCCTTGGCAGTCGCGGAGTCACGGAAAGCTTTCACAAGCTCAGTCGTGCCCGAAGCTCGAACGGGAGGTTCCCTTTGGTCGAAGCTCGGATGGGTGGCTCGTCTCTTTTTGGATTCGGACCCTCAAAATGGCGGTTTTCCTTTGGGAGTCCCACAAAAAAAAGAATGGGTACCCTCACATAAGGGTTGACCTTCCCGACAAGCCTCAAGTGTGGCCCAAGACACAGCTCAAGCAGCTGCTGGAAATCGGGCAAAATCTGGGCTGGCCACACGGCCAGCAGTTGGATTGATCTGAGCAACGTTGGCACAAGGCCAAATGGGAATGAAACCAAGCGGGTATGACCCCTTAGTGGACATAACATACATGGGGTCAAAGTCCACCAACCAGGGTGTTCCCCATTCAAATTCATAGCCAGATGGCTGTGGGCGTTCTGGCAAAGAGATCCTTCAAGGCCTGTAAGTTTCGGCTCTCTCTCTCTCTCTCTCTCTGTCAGGCTACCCTGATCGTCGTACCGCCAATATTGTCAGAGAAGCTGCATCAAGCAAATTGCCATGTCTGTACAAGTTGTTGTGCAAGTATTGCTCAGTTGCCGCTGCAAACTCTTCGCTCAACGCTCCCTCGCTGTGAAGCATCCGAACAAAGCGCCCAAGTCATACCAGTCATCCACCGAAGTGACGATCTCCCTCTCGGGCTTGCTCGTCTCGGCAACCTTCGAGGGCCGTTCTTTTTGGAAAGAAACAGGTTCAAAGGAAACCTAAACATACATTTGTGTATATATATGTATATATATATATATATACATGTAATATGTTTGGGTACCGTGTCCCGTGTTCCCGCCCACCCCAACCCGCGTCCGCCCCCGCACCCCCAACCCCCAACCATCCCTTCAACCCACACCTCCGACACTCCCACAACCCAAGCAATCCAAGCCTCAACCAACCCTGAATCAGTCCAAACTTGAGTAGAAGAAACCCTAAACCCACGCATACAAAGCCGAATCCCAACCCCAAGCCACCCCCACCCTTAACCAACCCTGGACAACACAACCACCAGGACCGCGGGGAGTGGGGCTGGAACCCTAAAAGAGACCCAATCCAACCCTAACCATGGGTAGACCCTAAACCAACCTGAACCGACCTTTAAACCCATCCTCCACCAACACTGCACCACAACCCAACCGCACCACAGGATAACAAGGGGCGCAAGGGGGGACCTGTATGACCTAGGACCATGGGGGAGTTAATCTGCACCATATGCACGCGGGTCCCAACAACTGCTTCCCATGGTCCAAAATCCCCTTCCGGGTGCTGGTCACCCAAACGTACCCCCAAAAAACCGCGAGGTTCGAAGCAACTTGACAGAAGGAACCTCCCTGTCAGGCTGGATTCTCGTGCCCAAGTGAATCCAGTTAACACTCTTGGGTAACCAAACGCAATCACGGGGAAAAAGCCTCCGCTTGCCTATAAAGGCAGCAGAGTCATAATCAAACTACTACAGCAAGCAAAAAAAAAAAATACGGGGCACCCAGGTGGAGGCCCCAACAGCAAAAACCCCCGGGGAGGAACTTTTTTCTTGACCCCGAAACGCTTTCTGGACCCAAATTGACCCCACCCTATACCTTGCCCTTTTCCTTTTCCCTGCCAGACCTAACCCCCCCCAAAAAAAAAAAGCGGCGGTCTGGGCCCCCAGTAGCCCCAGGCCGAGCAAAAGCACGCCGCGCCTTCGCCTCAACCATCCGCTCGGAATCCCAGAAGCTCCCGCGGGGTCTCTCGCTTGCGGACACGGACACTGCCGTGGAGGAGGCGTCGCAGGGCCGCAGGATGTCCCTCTTGTACGGTACAGCCAGCCGAGCCTGGATGTCATGTTCAAACACTAGTTCTTTAAACAGCACTTTCCTCAAGTCCCCTCCATAAGATACCAATTGATTGTTACGCCACACCCATTCTTTCAACAGCCTTCTGTTGGTCCCCCCCGTTGCAATTGCCAGCAAAAGGGTGGTTTCTCCGCCCATTTGGCCGCTCGCCTCGTGGGCTTTGAGGCTCACCGCGGTGGGCACCACGAAAGCCCCACTCTCCTTCTCCGCTGCTTTCGCCGCCTCGAAGCTGTTCGCTAGGCGCGGGGTCAGGACCAACGTAGGCGCCATATTTCCGAGGCACGGGACGAGTCGGCTGGCTTGAACGAAACTGCAGCTTTGGACCCGGCCACTCACCAAGATGCCAAGGTGGTTGGCTCTCTCTTTTCTCTGTGCAAGCTTCTGACTCTATATGACGCGTGTGCACGGAGAGTTGCGCATACATGTTGATTACAAAGGCCACGCAGAGTAGTGCTACCAATCTACTGCGACTGGCCTGTGTTCCAGGTCAATTCTCTACGTGCTCAAATCAACCGTGAAGTGTTTCCTGAGTGAAGGGTGTTCGATTCGCCAGTTAGGGAGACTTAGGGTAGAACCCAGTTTACTAACTACCCACTCACTTGGCGAATCGAACGCGCAAGTTCGCAAGCTGCGTTCCAGGATTGAATTCGTAAAATCCGGTAGCAAGGTACACCCATTGAAACCGGCTCTCGTTTTACTTGCGCGTTCCTTTTCTATGCGCATTGCTAGGAACCGTCGAAAAGGGGATCCCAACCTCTTTCTTGTCGAGCCCCGAACCTCTTCTTGGGACCCCCAAACCAAGAGGAAGGTAAAATGTCAACAAGCAGGTGGTGGGATTGTTTTGCCCTAGTTGGCAGTGTCCCATTTGCAAGGACAAGGGTGGTCAAAACGCTGATCCCATGTTTGGTTGATGTTTGTGAACTCCAAGATGTGCTTGGATACTTTGACATGCAACAACACGGTCATCGTTTTGTCAATCCAATCAAGTCTGCCAGCAAGCACAGCAAACAACTCGCTAGCGCTAAGAAACGCTCGCCGGTTCCATTTTGTGGGGGTGTGCTGTTTATCTCATCTTGTTGTTGCGCCTGCGGTTGCCCAAAGAAGAAGAGCCCCGTCGTCGCAGTGCCAACCTTCTTTGTGGATTATTCGGAGATAAACTCATATGCAAAATGGAGGATACACGTTTACCGATGATTTCGAAAAGGGAACCAAGGGGAAAGCGCGCATTTAGGGAATGCCCAACCTTCCATCTACGACCCCTACTTTTTATCCTATCGCGGCAAAGTGGCAGATGCAAAGCAACGCCCCACATGAGCCGCGCAATCGGGTTATTCAAATGAACGGCCTCCGTTTTTCAACCCCCAACCTGTTTTTGGGCCTATAAACCAACATGAGGAGTTGGAAAAACCGCCCTCCCCCCCCCCCCACCCCCTCGTCCCCCCCACCCCCTCGTCCCCCCCACCCCCTCGTCCCCCCCACCCCCCCACGCCCCACAGCAGCGCCACGCATTTTTTTGGCTGCCCCTTGGCAGTCGCGGAGTCACGGAAAGCTTTCACAAGCTCCGTCGTGCCCGAAGCTCGAACGGGAGGTTCCCTTTGGTCGAAGCTCGGATGGGTGGCTCGTCTCTTTTTGGATTCGGACCCTCAAAATGGCGGTGTTCCTTTGGGTGTCCCACAAAAAAACACACTAAAATGGGTACCCTCACATAAGGGTTGACCTTCCCGACAAGCCTCAAGTGTGGCCCAAGACACAGCTCAAGCAGCTGCTGGAAATCGGGCAAAATCTGGGCTGGCCACACGGCCAGCAGTTGGATTGATCTGAGCAACGTTGGCACAAGGCCAAATGGGAATGAAACCAAGCGGGTATGATCCCTTAGTGGACATAACATACATGGGGTCAAAGTCCACCAACCAGGGTGTTCCCATTCATAGCCAGATGGCTGTGGGCGTCCTGGCAAAGAGATCCTTCAAGGCCTGTAAGTTTCGGCTCTCTCTCTCTCTCTCTCTCTCTGCCAGGCTACCCTGATCGTCGTACCGCCAATTTTGTCAGAGAAGCTGCATCAAGCAAATTGCCATGTCTGTACAAGTTGTTGTGCAAGTATGGCTCAGTTGCCACGGCAAACTCTTCGCTCAACGCTCCCTCGCCGTGAAGCAGCCGAACAAAGCGCCCAAGTCATACCAGTCATCCACCGAAGTGACGATCTCCCTCTCGGGCTTGCTCGTCTTGGCAACCTTCGAGGGCCGTCCTTTTTGGAAAGAATCAGGTTCAAGGGAAACCTAAATATACATATGTATATATATATATATGTATATATATATGTACATATATATATATATATATCTTGGTATATATATATATATATATGTATACATATTACCGTGTCCCGTGTTCCCACCCACCCCAACCCGCGTCCGCCCCCGCGCCCCCAACCCCCAACCATCCCTTCAACCCACACCTCCGACACTCCCACAACCCAAGCAATCCAAGCCTCAACCAACCCTGAATCAGTCCAAACTTGAGTAGAAGAAACCCTAAACCCACGCATACAAAGCCGAAGCCCAACCCCAAGCCACCCCAACCCAAACCAACCCCAAACCCACCCGAAACCCCTGGACAACACAACCACCAGGACCGCGGGGCAGTGGGGCTGGAACCCTAAAAGAGACCCAATCCAACCCTAACCATGGGTAGACCCTAAACCAACCCTGAAACCCATCCTCCACCAACACTGCACCACAACCCAACCACAGGACCACAGGATAACAAGGGGCGCAAGGGGGACCTGTATGACCTAGGAGCATGGGGGAGGTATGGTCCAAAATCCCCTTGGACGGGACTACCCAAAAGGCAGTTTTTGGGACCCAGCTGATAACATACCGCGAAAAACTATCCCCAACCGCGCGAGGTTCGAAGCAACTTCACAGAAGGAACCTCCCTGGCTGGGTTGGACGGCACCGTTCAATTCTCATGCCCAAGTGCGGGAAGCTGGGTAACCAAACGCAATCACGGGGGAAAACACCTCAGAAAACCTCTGCTTGCCTATAAAGGCAGCAGAGTCATGATCAAACTACTACAGCAAGCAAAAAAAAACATACGGGACCCCGAAACGCTTTCTGGACCCAAATTGACCCTACCCTATTGCCTTTTTCCCTGCCAGACCTAACCCCCCCAAAAAGAAAAAAAGGACCAGTCTCCCCCAGTAGCCCCGGGCCCAGCAAAAAGACGCCGCGCCTTCGCCTCAACCATCCGCTCGGAATCCCAGAGGCTGCCGCGGGGTCTCTCGCTTGCAGACGCAGACACTGCCGTGGAGGAGGCATCGCAGGGCCGCAGGATGTCCCTCTTGTACGGTACAGCCAGCCGAGCCTGGATATCATCTTCAAACACTAGTTCTTTAAACAGCTTTCCTCAAGTCCCCTCCATAAGATACCAATTTGGTTAAGTTACACCCGTTCTTCAACAGCCTTCTGTTGGTCCCCCCTTGCAGCTGCCAGCAAACCGGTAGTTTCAGCCCATTTGGCACCCGCTCGCCTCGTGGGCTTTGAGGCTCACCGCGGTCGGCACCACGAACGCCTCGCTCGTCTTCTCCGCCGGAGTCAGGACCAACGTAGGCGCCATGGTTCAGAGGCACGGGACGAGTCGGCTGGCTTGAAGGAAACTGCAGCTTTGGGCCCGGCCAGTCACCAACATGCCCAGGGTGCTGGCTCTCTCAGCTTCTGACTAACTCTATGACGCGTGTGCACGGAGAGTTGCGCGCACATGTTCATCACAGTGGGCAGTTGGACTGGTGCACGACAACCTCTAGCTTCGATTTCTAAGGGCTGAACATAAGCCCCGTGTGATTTGATCTGCAAATAAACCAGAAGGTTAAAAAAATTGGACGTGCAATACTGAGTGTGCGTCTCGCCTTTCTTCGATTCCCTGGCAAAACCTCGCTAAAAAACGCGCCGCTTTTGCGGAAGGAGGAGTCGTAGTTTGAATAGGGCAGTCAAACCTCCAAATAAAGCGTTCCCAGTCAAACCTCCGTGCTCCAAGGCTTCCACTGGCTCCAAAGACCAGGGAGAACCCCAAACCCCTTCGGAACTAGCAGATCCAACGTGAAGGAATGAGGAGGAGGAAGCACAGGCCTGATATAACCCATATCATCCCACATAGATGATGACGATGGTCTACTTCGCAAAGCTATGCCAAACAAAAAGGGGGGAGGTGAACTAGGTCCTCCAGTAGAGAGCTCAGAATAAGGGTACCCTTGTTTCAGTAAAAAAACCCTCCCCAAAAAAAGGGGTCAAAGGGCACCTAGCTGGGGGACCTCGTAAATGTAGGTGAATGGTCCACGGCCAGACGCACGGCCGGGGGTTCTGAGACTGGGTCCCGGAACGTCAGCTCCGTTTTCTCTTTTCGCTCGCTCGCGATGGTTTTTCCGCGTCAGACTTCCGCTGAGCACTGGACGGTGCGTCCCGTGATTCACGCGGTAAACCCAACAATGAACAAACAGTATTGCAAAAGCTGTCGGGTTTGCTTCTACAAACCAGAAATGAACTGGGGGTGCATTGCTGGGAGTTGCGCCGCATCAAATGTTGTTTCTGCACTCCACCATGAAGTTGTAGAACTCTGCGACATCGTGCTCTACAAAATGGAAGCCGCACTTGTTCAGATAGGCGACTTCGGCAGCCTGGGACGCGCCCAGCCCGCTGTCTTCGCGAGCCCTTTGGACAGAAGTCTCGTTTGAGAGGTCCTGCCAGGGGAGTTTCCCACGTCCGACTTTGCCTTCGAAGTAGAAGACGTGCAGCGTTTGTTTCAGGGCCGCCGCTTGGTGCACGTTGGCTTGCCACTCGTGAAACCAGCGGCAGCCCCACGGCGCGCGGCCGCCGTTCTCTTCACACTTCCTCTGTGCCGCTGTCTCTGCTGCCTGCTTGTCTGCTTTCCACTGCTCATCACTTTGCCCATCCCTCTTGAGGAAGACTTGACCCATGGCCACAGCATCCATCTCTTTGAAGCGAAGGTCTTCTGCACTCACGGAGTCTGGTTCATCAACGATGCTGCGGTACGCCTCTGCCTTCACCTGCCCATATAGGGCCCTGCACCAGCAGGTGCCAGGTTGGTCTGGGTTCTCAACATGCACGCCCAAACCTGACGTCCGATCCGTTAAGAAGACGCAGGCGAGGCTGCAGGCACCTGCCTCCAACTGCACTCTGCGTACTGCGTCATCCCATTCCTCAGCCACCACTGCATGCTGCCTGTCCTTCTCTCAATCCGAACATGGAATTCCAGACCCAACATCAATCTGCACCGCCTGCGCACACTTCACAGTAAGGAGGTTCTGGCAGGTTGGCTTCTTTGAGAATCTGCTTGGTCACGGGCGTTTGAATCAAAGTTGGCAGGTCTTCTTGTCTCGCTTTAGGTTTTGGTAATGTTTTGTCCAGAAGGATTAATAAGTAAAACTGATGGCAAAGCAAATGCTGTAAAACTGAAGAGCAGAGGGCGACACACACGCAAACACTTCGAGCATGTTGTCGAGGGCACATTCAAACTCAATCGTGGCGGTTTTCTTGCAATGGTACCGGAACATGATCCATCTTTGAAAGTCTCCAACAACTTATCCTCCCCAAGCATTCATGCCATTTCGCAACCCTGATCTTACAACTTCCTACACAAACTACACTGACCATACAATGCTCATTCATGAAACGAATTGAAGCCATTAAACACTTCTTGTGCCCACAGCCCGCAGCCCAATTCCAACCCAGTGCCAAGTCTCTTCGGCATATTTGCCGGGAAAGCTGACGACGCAGTGCTGTGCGCTGCGGTTCACCTTGCCTGGGAAGGCGATGCGCTTCCCACAGATCCTGGCCATGTAGCCCAGCTCCAGCACTTGATCTGAAACCTCTAGCGCGAATAGGAGCACCAGGATAGTCGAGAGCACGAGGGCGTTGTCCAAGGTGAAGAAGCCAATCTCGTGGCAGCCTTCAATCAACACCAAGTTCACGGCATCGAGGATTGTCAGAGCAGAGCCAAGCCACAGCAAGCGCGCGGATCGCGCGGCGTTTCTGGCACATGCCTCGTCCCTGCCCTGTCTGCCTTCCAGCATCCTCCTCTTCGTCACAGCTTCGCGGCCCAACGCCAGGGCGCTTATACCGGTCAGCGCGGCCAAGAGGCTCCACGTAAGACCAGTGAAGAAGTGGTCCAAGGCTGCAGGCAAGTCCAGCTGGACCATCCGCGCCAAGGCCCTGAAGCCGTAGATCCCCACCCAGCCGACCCAAGCGAAGCTGAAGCACCTCCCCCGGAGACCTGGGAGCGAGACCTGTGTGACCAGGCCGAGGCCCAGTCGGCTTACCCAGCTGAAGGTCATCAGAACTCCGTCGAAGGCGCCTGGCGCCTGGAGATCCTCCGGCACGGCGAGGGCCAACAACTCCAACAGGGACGAGAGGACCGCCACGGAGAACCAGGCCGCAAGACTTGCCTGGCGCAGCTGCGACTCCCAGTTGGCAAATGGCAAAAAAAAGGGCACCAAGCTCAGACTGCAAATGGCCGGGCGCAAAATGCCATCAGCCATGCGCAGGTAGATGGGCAGGTGATCCCCGTAGAAGACCTTCCCTCCAGGGCTGTCAGGGTCGAGGATCATGCTGACATTCACTTTGATGCGGAAAAGCGTCCAGGCAAGGACGTGTAAAATCGGCCAAAGCTGACGGCAAACATGCGGCACCTCGACACTCAGCGATTGCCCCTTCTCATTCTCCAACTCAGCCTGCATCTCCTCGCTGATGTGGGGCTGTCTCTCCATCTCCAACTCCGCGACGGGTTCCAAAAGACCGCAGCGCAAGTCTCGGCTGGTGAAACCGACTGGTCTCATGGCTGTGAGATCAGTTCTCTGGAGATTCAGTTTGGGGGACCTGCCGCTAACTGGAACAATGTTTTGAATGATCTGGTTCAAGTGCTTGAATCTTAAAACAATATCTGATGATTCATGTTCTCACTTCCTGAGTGTATTGGCCAGAAAAAGTCGAAACTTGTTCACCACTCAAATCGTCTTCCCCAAAAGAAAATTTTATAAAGTCCAGGAACTCGGGAAGTGAGTGTTCCGCTCTCCTTTGTCCAAAGCCGAAGGCCCGAGTTCAACACTGGAGCCACGTACCACTTGCACATGAACATATCTAGCCGGTCAAGATACGTATGCACGACTTTTTACATGTGCGTTGGACTGGATGACGACGACACCTTTTGATTGAAAGTTGCAAATCTTCTGAATGATCTCCTAGTGTGAGAAGAAAATGGAATGGAGATGCTGGACCGACGCGGTTCTGGGTAGGGTTCTTGCTTCCCAAGAAATCCTTTGGTGAAGTATACCTATCCCTCGCCACAATGCACACCATGATTGCGCGTTTGACACGCGCACTGACCAAGAACAGGAAGGGGCCATGGAAACCCCGGTACTAATTTCTGACTTATGTTGTTTGAATTCATGTGAATGGATGTAGTACCAATGAATTCACAACGAAACACAACAACAGTACAATCCCGGGAGAAAAAGAACAAAAAACTCAAAGGAGAGGGAAACACAGTTTTCTCAACAACGAGGGAACCCGGCACCTTAAAAGGAACGAACCCCGCCGTGACTGCGACCTCTCCCTTAACTTGTGGGCAGCGCGTGCAACGCGCTCTTTTTTTGAGCCAAAGCGACATGTGATCATGTCGTGCTTTGATCTTGACTTGCTTGTACAACTTGCAATTGGAACCTTTGGGCCATAAATGTCATCGTGATAATTGACTCCCCCCTCATTGACGGCACTGAGGGAGTGTCTTGGGCGCATTACCACGCCAACTTGAAGTCAAGTTTACACCACAACGACTGACGCAAGTTACTCAAGCATCGCCCAGTCACTTGCACATTTTTTGGACATTTTGTGGACATGTCGCAGCGCACTATGCACATGGGGCCCCTGGACAAAAATGAGAAGATGAGTTTTGATAAGAGAAATCAAGAGAACCACATGCAAACCACAATCAAGAGTCTGCTTTTTAGAACACATTCAAAACACACGAAACACACACCAACTAGTTTTACATGTTGTGGAATTACATGCAAACCACTACACATACATCAGAAGGACAAAAGTTTTTGCCTCTTCATGGTTTCTGCAAAGCCGTGTGGATCACCCGCGGATCGAATTTCCAACTCCTTTTCATGTGGCAGGAGTGGGACGGTCAATTCTCACCCTCTTCTAAATTTCAAAAATACTTTAAAGGCTTTGGAATGTGACAATTCGACCGCGAATGACCCAGCAACAACTTGCAGGATTCTAGGCAAAAAGGGTTGCTTTTTTCTGAGAAGGCCCAAGAGGCACAACTTTTGTCCTGGTGGTGCGTCGCGGGAGGGGTGTTGGGTGACAGGTGCAGATGAGTGATTTTTATTTTTTGTCAATGCGCAGAACTATGTATTTGGACCTTCCCTTGAACCCGTTGCGAGGATCAGACACTTGAAGAGGCAAGCAGGCACGCGACGGACATGTTTTTACTCAGCCAGAGGACGCTTTGCGGACCACTTCCCGGCATTCGCTTTGCGGCGGCCTGTGCGTGGGCCTGCTCAGGCAAGGCTTCCTGTTCAGGGCATCCTTGAGGTCCATCTTCCGAAGCCGCTTCTTGAGCCCTGGCTGCCAGAAACCGTTCGTTGTCACAGAGCAAATGCCAAGGTCCATCGGCTTTCACAGGGTCCAGGGATTTCAGCGCAGACACAAGCCTCCCACTCGCTGCGAACCCACCTGCGCTGAGGCCACCCAGCGGGACACATCGGTCAATCGGGCATCGCTTTGAAAAACCATCCTGCCCGGCCAGGGAAGGTTCCAACCTCTCTGACCTCAGGCGCCACATGTGGGTTCAAGCGGTCGGTAAGGTTAGACTGCGCAAAGGCCTGTCGCTCATCTGCTGCGCGCTGTAATGTTGATCGTTCAAAAAAGAGATGGCCGAGCATTCGAGGCGGGGGGCTGGGAAATTGTCTCCCTGGACATCGTGTCGAAATTTTAGCCCACGATCCTGTGCGACATCCGAAGCTGGGACTACAGTTCCCGCCGGGGCACTTCAACATGTCTGGACTGGTCCCTGGAAGACTCCAAGAACTTCTTGCTGCGCAGGCTGAAGAAGTTGAGACAGGAAGTGGTTTGCGCCAGCAAAACCTTGCAGACGGAGCTGGCCAAGGAGAAAGGCGTTGAAGTGGAAGAATCTACTGCGCGCAAGGTCTTGCTGTCGCAGGGGTACAAGTGGCTACCCCGAGGGCAGAAGCGGAAGGGCGCGGCGGTGAACCTGCGCGGGCCCGCCGGGCGGCCACACTTCTTGTAGCCAGACTGCTTTCGGCCTTGTTGATGGGAAAACATCTTGTAGTACTGACCACAAGTTCGTCTTGATGGCCGCTTCCCAGCTAGGTCCTTCACCTTCCAAGCGATTTGCGGGAATGTCAACCCATGCGCGTCTCGTAAAACGACCACCTTGCGTCGGTTAACAAAATCCAGCCCTTGCGTACGCACGCTCGCACTCGCAACAACCATCTCAGGTGAAACAGCCGCTCGCGTGCTGCAGGTGTGGGAAGCTTGATCCAGCAGAGGCGGCACCGACGCACCAGACTGCAGCAGAAGGCTTTCAAGATGCGGTGGAGGGACAGCAGAAAATGACAGACACGGATCCCAGCACAAAACCATGTTGTAAACACGTTCCTGGTGGAGACAACAGAAGCCCCTAGAGCCCAACCCAGTTGCAGATGACGCAAACGTCAGCTTTGCGCATGGCCTGCTGAGCCAGTCATTGCTTTGCAAATGATCAAGGTTCTTCGTTGTGAAGTTAATGGTGACCACGGTTAGTATCTTAAAGAGGTACTTGGTGTAGAAACAAGTTCTTTGTTGCGTGGTTGCGAATTCAATCCGGCTGTCACACTTGCCCTGAACCTTTTCTTGGTGCATGACTAGAAACTCTATTTCACACACATCGTCAAGAATCAAGGCATCGTGACAACCACGCTTGAACTCCACCGGAAACACCTTGCTCTTGCCAACCTTCAGCTCCAATGGGTTCTGGAAGAGGCTCTTGGCGTACTCTGTCTTGCCGGACGCAGACGCGCCGATCAAGATAAGCAACGGGTAGCGCAAGAGGTCGGAGTTGAAGCTTCCCAGCCACGCTGTCACGGCGGGCACCACTGGGAAGGGCTTGCGCAGCGAAGGGTTGGGTTCGGGGCCATTTGCCTTGCACCCGGTTTGCGGCAATGCCAGTAACCTCAAACCACGCTGGCATGTAGTTGCGTCGCGCACCAGTACTTCACCTGCCAGGTTGACGTTTTCGTGGCGTGGAGATAGCTGCGCTTCCCGGACGACGGAGGGGCCGACAAGGTGGTGGCCGGAGCATCCTGGGCCCACGGACGTCTCCCTGACAAACTGGACGGTTCGTCCCAGCAGCGGGCGCAGCGTGGTCTGGCCACGTGGGCGCAGTGAGCGTGGACGGCTACACCATGACCCTGGCAGTGAACCCTTGGAAGCTCCTCTTCGCGCGTCGGTCTCGGCTTGGCACGGCCTCCAACTTCGTGGCGGCAGCTTCGTGGGGGACCAGGGCGCCTGGAGCACGGCCAAGATGTACTTCAGCATGCCCCCAAACGGGATCGCAAAGCTACACTTCGGGGCGCTTCTAGGCGCCGGGCCTGGCCAACCAGACGGCAGGAACGGTGGACGTCTACGGCCTCCAGATCCTGGGCGCAAACCTGGAGGCAGGCAACACGACGGAGGTCGACGCAGACACGACAGCCTTGGCTCTGCTGCTGAAGCACGAGTTCCTCGACGTCACGCTGGCCACCCTGGGGGAGGTGCTGCTGGACCCCGCCCTGACCACGCTGGGCAACTAGTGCGCTCCAACAGCCAGAGCTCCGTGGCCTCGGCCAGCTTTGCGGTGGGGAGGCTTCAAGCTGGAGGGCTACGCCATGACCCTAAGCGCCTTCGCCTGCAACAAAATTTTCGGCGATTTGTCCCGAAATTTTTGAGGGGAGTGTCTCGGAGCGAAGTCGGAATTTTGACCTCGGTGGGAGAGCGAAGTCGGAATTCCGACCTCGGTGGGAGAGCGAAGTCGGAATTCCGACCTGGCGGCAGGCCCCAAAGAACAAGTAGCGTCCAGCTGTGTGAGCAGGTCTCCTCGTTCTAGGAAACTTGCTCAAGCTCCTTTTTGGGGCAACAAGTAGGAAAAAAACTGTGAGCAGGCCTCACTGCGCCCAGTGACGCAAGTCCCTTCTTGGGGCAACAAAGCTGTTTTTTTTTTAAATGGAGGCGCTGAGGGATCTGGCCGACGACTTCAACGTGCGGGACCTGCGGAAGCTGCACCGACTTGCACGGCAGCGCGACCTCGACGTGATGCAGGCCATGGCCTTTGAGGCGCTGAAGGCCGACGTGGGCCGGCAGGTGCAGGCGCCCCGGCCGCGCGCGCTGGGCAAGTCGGCCGTCGAGGGGCCGAACGACCGGCTGCAGGCCGACCTCATCGACTTCAGCCAGAACACCCGGGGGAAGACGAGGTACGGCCTGGTGGTGATCTTCACCCGGGAGGCTGCCGTGGAACCTGGGCAACGAGTTCGCCGCTGGACCGGGAGCTGCACCGGACGAAGCGGCCCAAGGACCGCAACGCCACGGCCGTGGTGGACCGGGGCATCCAGACGGGCATGGGCAACGTGCAAAACGAGCTATTCCTCCAGGCCGTACATACATGTACACCCTGGAGTAATAGCATTTTGTGGCGCAAAACCGTGCAAATGTTCCTGAGTTAGGGTTTGGGGTGCTCGTTGCCAAACGACGCAATCACGATCTTTTTTCTCTGTGCCACGTGTTCGCCTGAAAAGCTACGCTGCAGGCTCGTCCGCCTTGCGCTTCTTGCC